GTCTCCACGATGCTGCAAAGTTGTCTCCCGTTTTTGTTATTGCTATTATTCTTATTAATTAAATTTGTAGATCTCAGGAGGGTTATAATGGATTTGGAGCATGCGAGAAGGTCTGCTCTAGGACGTGCTGATCAGAAAGTCGGGGTGAGCTCCCGTTGCTCGGTCCCTGCTCCTACCAACCTAGCAGTTCGAAAGCACGAAGTGCAAATAGATGAACAGGTACCGCTCCGGCGGGAAGGTAAATGACGTTTCTATGCACTGCTCTGGTTTGCCAGAAGAGGCTTAGTCATGCTGGGCACATGACCCAGAAGCTGTATGCTGGCTCCCTCGGCCAATAAAGCGAGATGAGCGCCACAACCCCAAAGTCGGCCACAACTGGACCTAATGGTCAGGGGTCCCTTTACCTTTACGGTTATTGAACAGTGAGCATTGGGGCTGACCTGACCCAATAATCCCCCTGCCCAACAAACCTCACTGCAGCCAACTAAAGATAACCAACCATGCCCCCCCTCACTACCAAGAAATATGTTAGTATATGTATGTATACATATATGTGTGTGTATGACTGGCATAAAATCCCACAAACATACTAAATGTACCACCACAATCCCCTCTTCCCCTTCTCTTTCTCTCCCTTCTTCTCCCACCTTACTCTGCATAATATATCACATCAAATGTAAAAAACTTTATGATGGGGGGGGACAACACACATTTTTGTGTGAACCAAGATCTTTAATAAATTTTAAAAACAAAAACACTCTGCCTGCACTGCCTGGGCTTGGTAAATGATTCTGAGATGCCTTGAACTATTTGGCCCGCAGTATTACAGAGGATGAGATGATTGGACAGTGTTCTTGAAGCTACCAACATGAGTTTGAAAAAAATTTACCAGCACCAGTCATGGCAGAAGGTGCAATTGCAGCCTTCAGGCATTAGAGATTATTGGGTAACGGTTTGACTGTGATGGGCCCTGAGGTGATGACTCTCGACCTGGTGAAGGTATGTATTCTTGGCTTATGCAGGAAGAACTCTTGGGATGCCTTATAGATCAAAAGGGTTTTATTGCGCTCCAGATTTTAAAAAAGACAATATAGTATAAATGCAGCAGTGACTGCCAAGAATGGTGTGTGACAATCTGGGGAAACCCAGTCAGATGGGCAGGGTATAAATAAATTATTATTATTATTATTATTATTATTATTATTATTATTATTATCTGTGTTGGTTGTCAGTGGCAAGTTTTTTGCCTTCAAGCAATACAGTGGTACCTTGGTTTGCATACATTTTGGATTACAAACGTGTCAAACCTGGAAGTGCGCGTCCCGGTTTGCAAACTTTTTTTTGGATTACAACCCATTTTTTTTTGGATTACGAACAAATTTTTTGGGGAGGCCCCATTGGCGAAAGCACACCTTGGGTTATAACCTGGTTTGGTTTACAAACGGACCTCCAGAACGGATTATGGTTGTAAACCAAGGTACCACTGTACTAACAGTAATGGTAATACTGTAATACCTTCCACCTTGCCCCAAGCCACAAAAGGCTAAGGCACTTTAGGCACAATTCTATACATCCCTACTCTAAAGTAAACCCCACTGAATTTAATTGGACTTTTGTGTGAGTGTCATGTACAGGATGGCAGTGTTGTTATGACATTTGTTTGTTTAATTCCAATTTTGAATCGCTTCCTATAAAATATTTCCAAGCGCTTTCCCATCATCAGTAAAATAAATTAAACCTCTTCATGAGCAATGCTTTGAAGGTTGGACAAAGTGGAATGGGAATGTAGTATCCATATATATAAATGGTAAATCCCATGGAATGTATAATTTGTGTCTGAGAAAACCAACATAGGATTGCTCTGCACATGTCCCTTTTGTTTTGCTTTTTAAAAATAATAATAATAATGTTTGCCTTTGTATGCAACCCAAAATGCGTCTAAAGGTTCAGCTTTAGTATCAACTGATGCAAATTAGAAAATAATAATAATTAAGAAATAAAACAAATCTGAGTCCTTTGTGATTTTAACCTAGGCATGGCAGTGTTTGTTAATGAATACCTTCTGAATCCCACGGTCGGCCGCAAACTAGTATTAGTAAATACTGTAAATAGTTTTGATATTCTGATAAACAGGTGCCAGCAGCTTGGCCACAAGGGGGCAGTGGAGATTACCCAATGAACCACAGGCAATGACCATCTTCTGGGGCCTCTCTCAGTGGCCATGAATCAGAAAGTGAAGTGCTTGTCTTAACGAAACTAGCAAAGAAGAAAATATCCAGCTTTCCTACAGTGAAAGGGAAGCTGCACCTGAGATCAGGAGTGCAAAAGCTTGTTGTAGGCAAGCATCCTTCCAAGGACTCAGGGTCACTGTTTAGCGCACACTAATGTTGTGATTAGCTCCCCAGTGTCAGATAAGTTTTACCTAGTGTCTGAAACTTTCCGAGCTGAACTGTTGACCTGAACATTCCCTATGAATCCCGCAAGCATTTCTTTCTACTTAGCAAGAGCATAACGTATAAGAGAATGTGCAATGCCTTTACTTTCTGTAATTCTCTCAGTTTCAATGCAACCTGAAATAGATTCCCCTCCTGAAAGGTAGTAAAGGATGGTAAGATGAACCCCAGCTGAGTATATTCCCTGTGGAAAACCTAGGTGATTTATTCCAAGGCCCTTCAAAGCCTGAATTCACAGCAAGCCTTCTCTGTCTTTGTGGTTCATCTCATCTAATTTTTACTGTGTGTTTCAAGGCTTGAGACAAAATGCTTCAGTGAGTCAGAAGATTAAAGCATAGAAGTTTAACTAGCAGGGAGTTCAAGAAGCTACTGAGCCATGGCAGACCAGACAGTTTTGTGATTGACAGGCAAATAAGTGTCTGCACGTTTGATTTGGTCTCCATACCCTTCAGGCTTTACAGAGATCTGAAACATAATGTCCCACAAGACACGAGCCTCAAGTGGACCCTGAAAAGATCCACAAGTACCAACAGGCTGTGGCTATTCATTATTTTTCTCCAAAAGGGACTGGGTTTTCCCCTTCATTACTAGCCATGTAATTCTACTAAATGAGAGTCTTAAAATAGTTTATTCTGAATTAATAGTCTAATAATGGCACCATTGTGGGTCATGACCCAGGGGTAGGGGACCTCTGGCCATGGGCCAAATTAGGGCCAGCATGGCTCCCATTTTGACCCATGAGGCCATTTCCCCCAAAGCACGGCCACATTCCCCACACCTTACATTGTATGTGATGCCAGGTGTGAGAAAGGTAAGATACAGATAGTTCCCAGTAACTTCACCTCACAGTACAATTCAAAGTGTTAATTTTAACTTTCAAAGCTCAACATGCCTACACAGGAACCTGTATGTGCATTAAGAGGTCCTTCTCCAAATGCTTCTGTTGTCTGAGATCAAGCAAGGAGCAACCAATAGGCAAGGCCTTTCCAGGCCCAATCCTTGAGTCCAAGGACCCATAGGATATTAGGTAGGAAAACAGGTTTGCAAGCAGAGATGACTGTCCTTCCACCCTTAGAGCCCATTCCTCCTCCACTGTCAGAGCCAGTGCTGGATTTACCTATAAGCTAAACAAGCTATAGCTTAGGGCCCCATTCTCTTGGGGTTCCCCAGAAAAATTAAAGGAAGAAAAAACCTGGATGTACATTTCCAAAATATAAGATAAGTTCAACAATTACTTTGATAAAGTACATATTTTGCTATGTGCAAATGGCTTTAGATACCTATTGTGATGGGATGATGAGCTGCTTGTGCGTAAAATCGTATCCCCTCAGAGTTTGTTCAAGTCCACAAACCTCTGTCTGTGACGGAGCCCCTCAGACATGGCTACTCTAGTCACTAGCAGATTCCGACAGTGGTTGCTTTCGTAATCGCTTCCAACATAAAAGCTCCTTAACGGAAACACGTCTTCTGGAATCTCTGCGTGACAGTTTCCGGCGAGGAGTGGGTGTTCTTACAGGAGGTCCTGAAACCTCCCCACTGTTTTCGCTGGAAGTGTCTCTGAGCCATCCCTCCAGCTCAGCTCCTCTCCCCTGCTGGTTCCCTCTTCAGCTGCTGCGTCTCTCCCAACCTGTGTGAGCCCTTTCACCTCCCTTCCGGTTCCCTCTTCAGCTGCTGCGTCTCTCCCAACCTGTGTGAGCCCTTTCACCTCCCTTCCGTCCGATGGCAGTTCCCTGACACCTATTAAGGTCATAAATTACCAAATAGCATATATTCAACACAAAAAAACAGCAACAATTTGTTGTTGACAAAGGACAGCTGGACATATAAAGGGCCCCATTACCTTCAGTAGCTTAGAGCCTCATCAGATCTAAATCTGGCCCTATTCAGAGCTCTAAAACAACACAAAAGTCACAGTAAAAAAAGAGAAAACAAATAATATACTGTATTTCCCTCCCCCTTCTTATAAAGCTATAGTGCCAAAAAATGCATTTGCCATATTTATACAGCAACGTTAAAGGAATGGAATTTGATTTTACTGTAAATACAAAGATGAAATACAAAGATACAAAAAAAAGTAAAAGCTTAGAAAATGAAACTTTGTATGCAACCTGCACAATTTAGAAATTTCAGATTACATGCATTTGGAAGTGATGTAATACCTCAGTATTTTTGTGTAGCATTTAGCCCAGATTTTGTGACCAAATGGGGCTAGCTCCCTCAGTCTGTCAACGCAAGAATTTCCATTTGCACAACAGAATATCCCCCCTCTCCTCTTCACATGCATCTTGCCTAAATCTACTCTTAGGGTTCCCCCAACTCTCTGGAACAGATTTGAAGAGGAACGTGGGCACACACAGTTGCACAACTGGAGATCCTTGCACTGACAGAACAGGGGAGTTCGATATCGCATGAATAGGAAACCCCCCACCCCCACCCCATTTAGGTGTTTTATCAACCCCCATCCAAAATATCACTGAAAATACAGAAGAGCTTTCAACGATTCTCAAAAGCTGCAGAAAGAAGATCAAATAGAAATTGGCTGTTTGCCATCTAATACCACGTGCTTTAAAATGTACATGCTGACATTCTGGATAACATTGTCATCGTCTTGTGTCTCCATTTATATTGATGTAGTAGGAGTGAAGCTGTACCAAACGGGAAGGCTGACATTTTAGGTCCCACCAATGCTTCTCTCTGCAGAGGTGTGTGTGATCGCCTGGGCTGTTGAGTAGCGGGCCTTCCATTTCTGTCGCTACGCCCACCTCCTTAGCCACATGATGTTGTGTCGATCTGGAGTAAATATCACATGTTATGGCAACAGCCTTAAAATATATCTGACAAATCACTTAATCATATTTCAAAATGTGGCATTATAAAAATAGTCTAGTGTTTTGTGGGTAGCAAGAGGAAACTATTTATAGACGTTACGCTGTGTTCCTTCTAATTAAAAATCATCTTTCTCTAGCTGAAATCATGACATCAGGGCTAGGTAACCTGTATAGTTGGCTGTGACATGGGAGAGGGAAGCAAAAAGGCCATGCTTCTTCTCCCCACTTGATTTGCATCAACGTTTTGCCTTCCATTTCCCAGATCCCTTAGATCAGACATAGACAACGTGGAGCCCACCAGGTGTTATGGAACACAACTCCCATCATATATGACCCTCAACCATACTGGCTAGGGCTGATGGGAGTTGTGGTCCACATTGTTGGACCTGTTCCATATCTGCTATTGGGTCCCCGGAGCACAGATTCACACAAAGTGGCAATCAACCTTGCAGGATTCAAAAAGATTTATTTGAAATGCATATGCAGGACAAAGGCACAGCGCGATAAGCTCACAATCTGCACACCCCAGTCAGGGTGTGCCCACTTTTTATAGACTATACAAAAAAACGGAGAGTGAAACTTTACATTCTTATCCAATCAGGCTCTAACATTCCATGCTTCTCCTTTTGAAGGTTAACACTTCTTAATTTACTCATTCTTTGTATGTCTGCCTGCTATGGCCTTCCCTGTCTTATAACAGTTGCTTTGTTTGTCTGCCTGCTTATGGCCTTGCCCGTCTTGTAACAGTGGCTTTGATAACAGCATGCTGGAATTTCTATTTCTGAGGCCCTTCAACATTTATTTATTTATTTATTTACTTATTTATTTATATGCATTTATATCACCACTTTTCTCTCCAAGCAGCTTAAGGTGGCATAGGTGGTTCTCCGTCCTCCTTACTTAATCCCCACAACAACCCTGTGAGGTAGATCAGGTTGAGAGGCAAGTGTCTAGTCCAAGGTCACCCAATGAGTTTTATGGCCAAGCGGAGATTTGAACCCTGGTCTCCTAGGCCTAGCCCCTAGCATAGATTACAATCCTGCTGGTAATTACGGTACTGCTTATTTTTAAACATGGGCTTATGGATTTATGTGCTGGTGCTTGACTTGTGAGCTATCAACACTCTGCCTACATAGTCATGGTCCACATCAACCTGAAACTGGCTTTTGGATGCATGCACACCCGCTCGGTCCCTGCTCCTGCCAACCTAGCAGTTCGAAAGCATGAAGTGCAAGTAGATAAATAGGTACCGCTCCAGCGGGATGGTAAACAGCATTTCCGTGCGCTGCTCTGGTTTCGCCAGAAGCGGCTTAGTCATGCTGGCCACATGACCCAGACAAACATTGGATCCCCCGGCCAGTAAAGCGAGATGAGCGCCGCAACCCAGAGTCGTCCGCAACTGGACCTAATGGTCAGGGGTTCCTTTACCTTTACACCCACCATTATCCACAATGCAGTGCTGTCCTGTGATTTCTTCAGAAATACTGCTGTTTGGTGTGTTTTCCCCTCAAACTAGCTTCAATCTGAATTGAAAACTTAGGTCACATTTGTTTCACAGTTAACTTGAGGTGTGTCCATTTGAGACAGTCATTGTACATGTACAGGTGACACCCTCATGAATAGTATTTTGCGAGCATTGCAGAAACCAAACAGGTCCTGTGCATTGGATAAATACATCCCTGCCCTCCCTCTGGTGTGTACAGCAGCATCTAAATGGGACTTAGAATGCAGTGTGTGTGGGAAGGCGACTTTGTTGTGTTTTAAGCGGCTAATGTGTAGTAGCCTGGCATTCCCTTCTCCTGCACTGTGGAACAGAAGATGACACTGCAGTGGTAACTGTCCTCTAGCTCCTGGCTTGTCACTTTAGAGCCAAACTGGAAGTTTTGAATGAGTTCTCTGAAAAAGTATGATGAGTCATGGGAGGGAACTTTCTGCCATCTATGCACCTTTCTTCACGCAGGCAACGGGCCCTGAATTATTCCTGCTCTGGTTCTTTTCTGTTGCACAGAAAAAAATCAAGCAGGAGACCAGCATGGATTCAGCTGAGGGCACATCGTAGAGACTGCATGCGGTGAATAAGCCCCATCCTTGGTTGTTACCTGTTTCCCAACCAACAGTAAATGGTGAACCAGCAGGAGATTATTCTTCCTTTGCATGCCTAACACTAGAGCTCGTCCTCCAAAATGATCCTATTTACTAGCTACGTGTGGTCTTTCTTTCTTTCTTTCTTTCTTTCTTTCTTTCTTTCTTTCTTTCTCCTGAATCCTCCCTAAATCCTGTTGCTGAAAACTTTGCTACAAAAATGGTTAGGGCTCAGTAACTTCTTTTTTACAAAATGATATGCTGAAAAACACTAAAGAAGCCTGTCCTATCAGTAAATCAACAAATAAATATATGGTAGAGCCATGCACGAAGACAGGAGTGCCTGGCGTGCTCTGGTCCATGGGGTCACGAAGAGTCGGACACGACTAAACGACTAAACAATAACAACAACAGAGCCATGCACAATTTGAAGCAAAGCCTGCCCAAGGGCTTTGATTTAGTTTACCAGCAACCACCATGGAATTGGCTTGTTCACATCACTTGCTTTCTCCCCCACTATGAGGAGCTACACTCCCATAGAACAAGTGTGCCTCTTTTCATTAGACAGATGTCCGAGGGCATCTTGTTAGAGCTTTTCTCACCCTCCATACCCCCCATAAGCCATGCCTAAATAAAGGCACAATAGAGGGTGTCAGAGAACTGCAACGGCTGCCACAGACCATTTCCAGGTGCAAGAGTGATCAGCATGTTAGGGAGTTTTTCCTAAGGGCAAAAGCTGTTTGACAGAGGAACTGACTGCAGCAGGTGGATGGCATTGAAACAGGCTGGATACTTAGCTGCCAGAGATGCTGTAGTTCAGGAGTGGGGAACCTATGGTCCTCAAAGCATTGTTGGACTCCAACTCACATCAGCCTCAGCCAGCATGGCCAGTGGATAGAAACGGTGGGAGTTGTAGTCCAACAACTTCTGGAGGACCACTGGTTTCCTACCCCTGCTGTGGCTGAGTCCTGTATTGCAAGTCCTGCACTGAGAGGGGGGATGAATCAAATGAGTCCCTCTCAACTCTAAGACTGGGAAGAAGCAGGTCACCTCCCACCCTTGTCAAATCATGCATTTCGTTTGATGAGGTGTCCATCTGAGGTGCCTGTGTACAATTGTGATACGTGCCACCAACTGCGCACCAATAAACAAAGATGCCTGCTTCCTGAATTGCCAAGCTCGTAAGTCAAAACAGCAGAACTCCTGCTAATCCACCCCAAGCAGAAGCTCAGGCATCAGGTGGATTTGTGGCAGGAACCTCTGGGTCAGGAATGGTGCTAACAAGGAACTGGGCAAGGTGCAAGCAATGAAGAGTGATTATCTCTTGTTAACTTCATGTTCTTTGACTCTAGCTCTCTTGCTTGAACTGTTCCACTAAAGGGAAATGTAATGCCCTGAAGGTCCACGACTGTTGCCTCTGCATCTGATGCTTCTCCGTGTGTTTCCTGTCTGCATCTTGTGTGTTTCTGTGCCTGCCTTGCTGCTGAATTACCGAGCGCTGATTTCTTCCCTCAGCATGCCTAATCCCTCTGATTGTCTGAGAATACGTCTTGAGGAAATCCAGGTTTAGGAACCCAGCTCATCACCAAACATCCAAATAGTGGTGTGGGGAGGGCACAGTTTGAAGCAGAGAAGTGGCAGGCAGAAGGAGGGATGCTCAAATCTTCATCCTGTTCACCACCCAGCTGGATTCAACACTGTCACTAGAGGCTCAGGTGGCCTTGGTGGTTAGCAATGCCCTTTTCCAGCTGGTCTGCCAGCTGTGGCCCCTTTTGGATAGGAATGGCTTGGCCACTGTACTCCATGCTCTGGTAACTTCCAGATTGGATTATTGCTATGTGGAGCTGCCCTTCAAGATGACTTAGAAACTTCAATTAGTCCAAAATGCAGCCTCAGGTTACTGGCTGGGGTTCCATTTAGATCCCATATAACACATTTTAAACAGAGCTGTGCTGGCTGCCAGTTTGTTTCTGGGACCCATTCAAGGTGCTCACATTAGTGTTTAAAACCCTGAATGACTCAAGCCGAAAATACCCGGAAGCTCACTTCCTTCCCTACAGACCCTCTTGAGGGCCCTCTTGGTAGTTCCACTGTAGTTATAAAAGCTTCACCTGGCAGAAATTCTCCCTTTGATGTATGTGGATCCTGCACCTTCAAAGGGGATCTTGTATCTTTAAGGATCATGCGGAAAGGAGAACACTGCTCATGTGCAGCTTCTCTCATTTCTTGCTCCTGTTGCTTTTCTGTCTCTCACAGTGCTTTCAGAGAGCAAGAGCTGTTTCTGTAAACAGAATCTGCTTCTCTTCGTGAGGGAGTGACACTAGGCAGATCAGAAGTATTCTGCCCAAACGCCATCAAAAACTGTTCGTCTTGCTTTGATGCTTTCCTTAGGCATAACATAATCAGTGTACCTCAACACAAATCCTCACTCACCTTTCTGACATCTGATTTCCATGCAATCAGCAGGAGGATATGGAGAGGAAAGGTTCCCTTTCCACCTTTCAAATATCCGCAGAACAAAAGCTCACACTAGGCCAGTCCTGATTGCTTTTCTGAGTCAGCGACACTGACTGATTGAGGCCTAGGCATTTCAATCCTTCAGAAAACAGCATTTTGCTATCCAGGCCCATTACAGTGGTACCTCAGGTTCAAACTTTATTTGTTCCAGAAGTCTATTCTTAATGCGAAGCGCTCTTAACCCTAGCTAGCTCTATATCATGGTTGCTCCAAACCTGGTTCCTTGTGACATGTCCCACTGAAGAGCCGTACAGATTCCCTTCATTCAGAGGGGGATACCAGAACCAGAGCCTCCATCTACAGCTTGTCTTGGAGGCTGACCAAGGCCTGACACTCGGTCAAGAAGAACCTTGTCCCACATGAGAGCACCCAACGTTTGAGACGGTCATCACTGCCTCTCCTCCAGTGACTCTACCTGCAGACATCAGACAAGTGCCAAAAGGGGAGAGAGTCATTTCTATCGTACTCTGGCAACAGAACTCCATCCCAAAAAGAGATCTACATGTCACCTGCATTGTTAACTTTTGAGCATCAGGCAAGCCCGTCCTGTTTACTTGCATACTTTCCTCTTTGGAGGGAATTTCATTTGTTGCAGTGTTCTCACTCTGCCTTTATTAGTGTTTTAAATCATCGAATTATAGAGTTGTAGAGTTGGAAAGGATCACTGCAATGTAGGAATCCTGACCACATCCGTCCCTAGGTGGGTTCGAACCACCAAACCTCCAGTTAACAGCCAGATGCACTGACCCATTGTGCCACTGGGGGCTCCTCATGTTACATTAAATGTTTTCCGGGCTGCTTTTTAAATTGTGGTAGTGGGAATTTTTTAAAAAAAAACATTTAATTAAAAATGTTATTGGTTATTTTATTATGTTTTAATATTATGTGACTAGCCACTATGGATTCTGTTCTTAGGAGAAATGGAGCGTATGCGCCGTTTTAAAGCGAATAGATACATATACCCCAGTGGGAAGATGCTGCTTAGTTGCACAGCTCCCATTTATTGCCTCTGTCCTGAATTGTGCCTCTGTCCTTCCCTTCCTACTATCAGGCTGAGGCTTCAGTCCCCACTTCAGTGGCTGCCAGGTCCTCTTAAAGAGCTGACATTTCCAATCCTGACATTTTCCACAGCTCCATCTGGGAATTAATGGCCGGATATTAACTGCGATGGGGCTGTTTATCATAATTAGTCTCATGAAGCTATTGAGCATTCAGCTTTCCCTTTTTCTTTTTTCTTTTTCTTTTTGCCTTAAATTTATCAGCTCTGAAGAAATAAATGCAGAATCTAGCAGAAGAGATGGCTGGTTTATTTATTGATTTATTTATTTTGATCTGTCAGGTTTCGTATTTAAAGTTTGCCAAAACTGAGCATCTCTTCCTAGAGATGATGCCAAGGTTGACCTGACTTGGGCACGTAATTGGAATTACTGGAGCCATTTGGTATTTTGCACAGACATTTATAATTCTGACATTTTCTGTAATTCAGACCTCTCCCAATGCAAACTAAATACAGTTGTGACTGGCAGGGATTTATCAAACACTGCAAATATTATAGTGCTGTTTCACCTTTAGGTGTGTAGAAAGAAAAACTAGATCAAATGCAGATCCCCACATGGAAACTTTAGGATTGCTATTTATTTTATTACTATAATATTTATTGGGTAGAATTCACTGTAGTGCTAAGCAGGGAGGTACGAGCATGAGGAACAAGGTGTAATCATGCAACAAGACTTTCCCTCCCTTTCCTCTCCCCATAAATCTGTGTGGTGTAGTGGTTAAGAGAGGTAGTTTCGTAATCTGGTGAACCGGGTTCGCGTCTCCGCTCCTCCACATGCAGCTGCTGGGTGACCTTGGGCTAGTCACACTTCTTGAAGTCTCTCAGCCCCACTCACCTCACAGAGTGTTTGTTGTGGGAGAGGAAGGGAAAGGAGAATGTTAGCTGCTTTGAGACTCCTTAGGGTAGTGATAAAGCGGGATATCAAATCCAAACTTCTCCTCTTCTTCTTCTTCTTCTTTTTCTTCTTCTTCTTCTTTGGTTTCCTTCAACCCTTCAGAGCAGCCCATTGTCTTTCAAGACAGATGGATGTCATCAACAATTCAGAGCAGCTTTAGGGGGCATGAGGGGGAGAGGGGGGAACGGTGCACAAGTGGACCTCATTCCACACATGCAACAACTTAGTTGAAACCCACCCAACCCAATGTGTTTATATACTGCTTTTTGTCACCAAGTCTGTATTTTTATTTCCTTAAAAAAAGAAAAGTATTTACTTACCTGAACTTGGAGATATTGTTTCTTATGGGCATGTTGAAATGTAGAACAAGGGAGCTCCCACTACTGATGAAAATCAAATATTTGTTTGTTTGTTCGACTGCATTTTGTATTTCCAAACTGCAGCGTAGGAGGAACGCCCCCCCTACAAAAGAGAACTCAAATAATAAAAAGCAATGAAACATTAAAATGAAAAGCATATTAAATACAAAAAAGCAAAATATGTGTACACATTAAAAGAAAAGGAAAAAGAAACATTAAAAGGAAAGGGGGGGGACTTATAAATTTATTTCCTACCACAGTGATGATTATTCGTGTGATAATAAACCCAGACATAGTCATGCTTAGAGTAGACCTATTGAAATCAATGGGGCTTAAATGATCCCTTTCTTTTAGTAACTCTAAGCATGGCTAAGCCTCGGTCCAACCTAATGGGTTGTATTCCACTATGTCATACTCAGAATACTCATTGAAATTCATGAACCTAAGCTAGTCATGTCGACTAACTTTGATGGGCAGCCACATGAAAATGGTGGGCAAAGCCAGAGACAAAACTGGGTGGAGCAAATATGCCTTTTACAGTAGACTACCTCGTACATACTCTCACACAGCCCATCCACCCAACCTAGGGAGAGTCTAGAGGGCCAATAGGAAAGGTCTGAAGGGCCACATGGGGCTCCTGAGACTAAGGTTTCTCTCCCCCTGCACCCCGCAGGATAGGTTTGCAAACCGGGAAGCAAACAAGATGCAGAAGGACACTTGAGTTCCTCTGATGTGCTGCTAATATAGCCATAGACTTATTTTATTTGAGTTCTGCTGGCCCCTAAAGTTGTTCAGAAGCCTCCTTCTCCTTGCCGCTCCAGTCCTTCCCCCATGCAGAGCTCTGCTGGTGTCCTCCTGCTTTCATTCTCCACGATTCTGTTCCACCCTTGTTTTTCTAGCCCAATCGGAGATTATCCAAAGCTCTCCATCCAGATGTTTACTAGGTAAACATAAAAGATTTTGTGTTTACATATTACCTATTAACATTCCTCTGCTGATGTGAAGGTAGTAATTATGGAGCCAGATGGGGACGTGCACACAGTCTTTGACACCAAGCCTGCACACTGCTGGGTGGCATTTTTTAACGAGATGCCAACCACCAGCAGGAAGATCAGGAAAGCTGACTGCAATTAAAAACTGAATTTCTAAATCTACCGCATGGCTTATTCCAGGTGAAGACTAAGTGTTTTGGGCTGCAGCATTTGACATAATGTACATGGGATGCGCTCCAAGCTAATGTGCTCAAACCTGAAATTCCCCCTTGTTACAACATGATGGCAATAATACAATAATTATATGCCATCACCTGTGCGGATAATGCAAAGACGCTGTGCCCATTCCTAATTCACATGGCAGCATTCCAGGCAGGGACTGTAATGTCTGAAATCCTCTTACTACGTGGATGACCCTGACTCTGTGTGGATGGTCTTAAAACCAACACTGCCTGTTCCAAGGGGCTGATGGCGCAGAGTTGCCCCATGTGCTTCGGAACTGTCCATATGGTAAATAAATATTATTACAACCCATGTGACTTAGCTACATAGAAGCATTTTGAGCGGCTACCACATAATAGAGTGCAATGTTTTAGTTAGATTTAACTCCCTAAATGCCAGTAAGGATATTTTTTCTGTGACACGAGGGAACTTCATCTTGCCTACCAGAGGGGCCAGTGGCATGAGGCAGTGCTTTATATTAAAAAATCTGAATAAAGGTAAAGGGACCCCTGACCATTAGGTCCAGTCGTGGACGACTCTGGGGTTGCGGCGCTCATCTCGCTTTATTGGCCGAGGGAGCCGGCGTACAGCTTCCGGGTCATGTGGCCAGCATGACTAAGCCACTTCTGGCGAACCAGACCAGCGCACGGAAACGCCGTTTACCTTCCCGCTGGAGCAGTACCTATTTATCTACTTGCACTTTGATGCATTTTCGAACTGTTAGGTTGGCAGAAACAGGGACCGAGCAACAGGCGCTCACCCCGTCGCAGGGATTCGAACTGCTCACCTTCTGATCGGCAAGTCCTAGGCTCTGTGGTTTAACCCACAGCGCCACCCGCATCCCTAAAAAAAATCTAATAGAAGTTAATTAAATGATCAACAGTAACAGGAGACCTCCGGGTATAGGGCGGTATATAAATTTGATAAATAATAAAAATAATGAATAAACAGCATTAAATGGAGACAAGCAGAGCAGATAACTCTAATCTGAACAAAACTGCCATTGCAGACATACAGTTGGGCAATTTCCTACTCACCAGGCCCATTGGCAGACCAGCTCTGCATTACGAAGATGTCTGCAAATGTGATGTGAAGGCAGGCAACATCAAACCCCACCGTGTGGGAATCCCTTGCAGACTGCAGCGCCTGAAGACAGACCATAGCAGTGACCAGAGGAGGAATGATTGCTGGGAGGAGCACAAAGAGAAGAAACACCATGGTACACCTGCAACAGCACCATGGTATGCCTTCGTCTGCCCAACTGCAATAAAGCATCTCTCTCCTGTATTGGTCTCTATAGCCACAACAGGCGCTGTAACCTTCCAAAGGCGCACTCCTCCATTGTCTCCCAATACAGACACAGATGCCAACCAATGGTTTCCGTACGGTGTGTCACAGTGGCCTCCAGGTGAGCCCTAAAGTACCAAGGTATCTTGTCCCCTACTGCAGGGATACAGCTTTATGTATACACCTCCCTGTGCTTACCCACTGCAAGTGTAAGTAGCTGGAGGCTGCAATCTAAGGTTGCTGGTACGATAAGTAGATACTCCATATTTAAAAGGATGAGTCCCTTAATGCAGGGTCATCCTCAAAGAATTTTGACTCAGCATAGAAGCCACCCATTTGCCCCACTCCTTTTAAAAAGCAACCCACCCATTAGCTCTTTTTGTTTCCAATGTCCATTGTTAACAGCTTGGCAATCCACCCTCAGGTACTCTACTGGATGGCAACTGACCCATCATGTGGCTATTAGTACATCATCTCTGAGCTCCACAGCTATCAAATGTTTCTTCTTTCAGAACGCAGCAGCTGCATGATTTCCTTGACTTTTAAAAATCTGACCTCCACTTGTAAAGGTAAAACTTTTGAAAGGGGCTACATATGAAAGAAGAAATTATTTCCTCTGCACCTACCAGCCCAGCCAGTGGCTTTTAAAATATGCCTTGTTGGTCTCCCATATGCAAATAAGAAATGGGAATGGTAAAAGATTAACAGCTCATTGGCTGCTGCCTGTCTGTGTCAAGGCTTGTAGTCATAATGGGTGGTCTGCCTATACTTGGGGATTTAGAGTTGTTCTTGTGCTCTGCAATTCACACTTCTGACACAATGGACTAAATATCTTGGTTTCACCAAATGGCCAGCAACCAAAACCAGAACATCAGCCCTCTTCTTTATATGTGAAACCACCTCATACTATGTGCTGAGACCCATGTTGACTAGCACTGGGATTGCATTTTTTCCAGTTTTTTTGGGACTGCTTCTCCACCAGGATTTGTTCCAGGCCCTATAATAACCCAAAGTGGTTCTCAACCAACTAATCCCTGTCTCAGGTACAGGCACCATCTTGAAACCAGTTCTTGGTAGCAACCAGATGGACTGGAGACCCTTGTGAGCATCATTTGGGAACAAAAGGGTTAGGAAGATACAGGATATGGGAATCTCTCAGTGGTGTGGAACCAGTAGCCCTCCGGATGTTGTTGGACTCCACCTCCCATCAGTCCTAGCCAGCGTGAGAGGGAAGCTGTAATCCAGCAACACCTAAAGGGCCCCTGGTTCCCTACCCTTGCTGTAAGTCATTGACGTGTTCCAGGGCAACAGATACACCATCTTTCATAGAACATAAAAGTCTGTCTCATACTATTTGTCCACCTAGCTCAGTATTGTCTGCTCAGACTGGCTACAGCCGTCTAGGGTTTCAGGAAGGAGTCTTTCCCACTGCCTGCTTCACATTTTAATTTTTAAATTGAGATGCTGGGGATTGACACTGGACATTTGGCATGCCAAGCAGGTGCTCTGCCACTGAGTTACGCTCTCCCCCCTCTCTTAAGCTCAAGGCCAGGGGAAGATTGACTATTCAAGAGGTAGCAAAGAAGGAAAACATTATTCCTAAGTACCTGCGAGGAGAAGACACTACACAATCAATGGAGATCTGAAAAAGAGGGATAGGATTAGGTAGTGCTTTTTTCTGGTGGGGACATATACCCCTAAACATTTTGTGAATCTAAGTATGGCCTCATTGAGGGGCAGTATTTCAATATGAGTAGAAAATGAGAGTACCCCAAAGTGATTATGGACATGGCCATGTAGTTCAGAACTGCAACATGAGACTACAGTTTGTTTGTTTGTTTTTTAAAGTCCTCCAGGTTTCCAATGTATTATATAACAATGGGTTTCAGGACAGCAGAGTATCTGTGAGGATATATTTGGCCTGATGGTGGTGTGTCCTGGAGCTTCACATCATCAGTATTCTAACTCCCACGAGGCTGACTCCCATGAGTATTCTGGCTCCCAACATCTCATTGCCAATTGGAGGCTCTCTCTTCTTCCCTAGAAATGACTGGTTGGTGAGTCTCGGAGGAGTCCTTTTTTCTGGAGATTCTTGAACCTGTCGATGGATTATGGATACCAAAAAGGAACAGGATAGCAGTGGAATGGATGACATAAGCTTGAGTTCTACCTCTTTGGGATGTTACACAATTCAGGGTAAGTTTACTGCAGAATATAGAAATACACAGTCTACTCCCCCCCCCCTTATCTTCCCTTGTCAAATGCCTGGATTTATGTCTTGAATGTAGATGTTCAGCTCCGTATCGTATCAATGACCCTTCATCGTAGCAAAACAAAGCTGAAACAGAACCCAACGAGTTTCTAGCAGGACTAAGAAATTTCCATAACTGAACATGTCCGGAATAGTGCCTTAATATGCTCTTAAACCAGGAGCATTGCTGGAAACAGGAGGTTCAACATCAACCCCCAAATTCTCTGTGCTTGTCTTACATAACCAATTGGACAGCTCTACCTCTTGTTGCCCTTGTTGTTTCTGGTCAGGATCTAACACACCAACTTGGTTTTGCCTCCCCTTCCTTACAGGCTTAAAACAGCTCTATGAGGCCCACCAGCTCTGTGATGCCACCCTGATGGCTGAAGGAAGGATTTTCTCCTGTCACAGGTGAGTTCCTGGATTTTGCTGGTCTCCAGCCTGCTAGTGAATATTGGCCTGATGAAGCAGCTCATGTTATCCATAGCCAGCAAAGCGGATGTTTTGCCTAGGGAGGTGAAATTGCCTAGGCAAGTGCAGAGTATGCACATCAGCACTGAGATGCTCCGGCTCTATGGGAGCAACACAGCCTCTGACACAAGAGTGTAACAATCTTTGTCACAATGCATCCTGCCAGATCACTGCCATTCCGAATAAGCCAATGGCTCAGGTTCTTGTGCTAGTCATATGCCTCTAAAAGCTTACATTTGCAATTCACGTCTGACAGGGGCTCATTTAATGGGGTGGGAATGAGGGAAGATTAGCAGAAATCCCATTCATGGAGAGGTTTATACAAATTAAGGTTTATCATTTAGATTTATAAAGGTTTATGGAATTATGTAAGGTGTAGAGGAAGTGGATAGAAAATCTGTTCCCCTCCTCTGAAAATTGTGGAAGTGTCAGTCTCCCAATTAAAGTGTTTGGTAGGAGATTCAGGACAGACAAAACAAAGTACCTTTTTAACACAACACACAACTGATTTATGGATTTCATTGTCATCCAGTCTGGTGAGGGTCACCATATTAAATTAAAACAGGATCGGGCAAATTCATGGAGGTTTCAATGGTCATTGGCCGTGATAACTAAATCAAACCTTCACCTTCAGAGACATGGAGTACCATTTGTTGCAGACAACTGGGAGAGCGCTATTTCCTTCAGATCCAATAAAATAAAATAAAATGGATTTCTGAAAGTATCTAAATGGGGGAAAGATTTGGTGTGTATTGGGGGAGGGGTTTGCTCTCCTGCAAATTAAATTTTGTACACTAGAATTCTTGCCATGCTAATTATGCATATAGTTTATGAAGGAAACTTTCCAAAATGTAATTGGCCACCTGCAGTCTGAAGTGATACAGTCCATTCTGCTGCTTGTGCAGACTAGGCCTTACAGTGCCCAGGGCCGGATCACCCATAAGGCAAAGTGAGACAACTGCCTCAGGCAGCAGGATCCACAGGGGCAGCAGATCTGGCCTCCAAGAAAGGGATCATTCACGGCTGCAGCACGCTCCTTGGAGGCTAGATCTGCTGCCTCCCTGACAGCCCTCCCCATGCCACCTCTGCAGTGGCCTTTATTCACACCCTGTTCTTGATGTACAACTTCACTTCACCCCTTCTTCCCTGGGGGGCCCGGCAATTTTGTAGCTTGCCTCAGGTGACAAAATGTCTTGAGCCGTTCCGGCAGTGGCCATCACATGGGCTGATACTGGCCTGCTTACAGGCTGCTGACTCTCTTTTAAGGGGATGAAGGTTCTGTGTCTTTAACAGCTGGACTAGCAAACCTGCTACAGGAATGAAAGCACAGAGAGCAAATCAACTGAGCGCAGCAGCAGTACATGGAAGAAGAGGAATATTCCCAAGTAAGGGATGACTGAGATAGTGAACATGCGTGTCCTTAGAATTGTTTTATCCTGAGTGGCAAAAATATATTCCTGTTTTGAAGGATCATGTAACCCCAGAAGCTTAGCATTTTTATACATAACATAAGGCTGACTTTTTTTTTTATTGACGTAGTCGCTTTGCTGCCTCTCTTTGTAGGGCATTGTTGGCCGCATTCAGCCCTTACTTCCGGGCCATGTTCACCAGGCCCTTTAGAGAATGCTGGGAAAGGCAAGTTGTGTTCGAAGACATGGCCTCTTCTGTTCTTCAAAGAATTCTAGATTATCTCTACACTGGAGAGTTGTTGCTTACACCAGAGACTGCTCAGGATCTCTTCACAGCTGCCAATAGGCTTGTCATCCGCCCACTGCAGGAGATTATTGGCAGGTAAACAGATCCTGTTTTGGAGCTGGGGATCCTTGGATCAGTGGGTGAAATCCTTAAGAGATACAGTATGGAGGCACAATCTAGAGTTGAGCTGAAATTTCTCAGAAGACATTTTTCTGATAATATATCTGAGGCTTTTCACTGAATATTCCCAACTTTCTTTGGGGGGAGGCAGCTATTATTTCTCCCCTGCCCCACAATGACCTGAATATAAACACAGACAATGCCCTTGAATGACACTAGGTCTAAAGCATTGCTTGGGGTGGGAAATAGTGCCCAGTGCAGTTGCTGCTGCTGCTTCTTGCAGCAGCAAGCAGTGGCATTGGGAAGGAACCCAGCACCAGTGTCTGGGGAAATGTAAGTTGTCTGAGCTTATGTCAGAAGAGAGTTTGAGTTTTCATTCATTAAAATGACAGACATCTGTACCTTGACCTTTGCCTAGTTTGTCAAAGGAATCAAGGACTGTGTTCACTTGGGCCCCAGACAACACAGACGTATTGGCTGGCAAGCTAAACAAGAACGGAAAATTTACTGGTTCACACAGTGCTGTCATAATTCTGGGGGGTTCACAGAGGATATCAATCTCCAAAAATTCCACCACATTACCCATTAACCAAAATGAAATTAATTTAAAGACAATAATTGGTGAACTCCAGCTGTCCCACAGCAGTTTACTAACAGCTGAGCGCCTTGTTGTAATGTTCAACTGGGCCCTCAGCAGCAAGTAAACTGCTATGGGACAGTTGGAGTTCCACAATTACTGCCTTTAAATTAATTTCACTTTGTAACTGAGGGAATTTTCCTGGAGGAAAGAGAGATCAGGCAAAATGAAAGATGGGATGCATGCAGATCCTTCCTATTGCCTATACTCCAAACTTCACACTGACACAAGTGCTATTTAACATGGAAGGGCTTATTTGTAGCTCACAATTACTATTGCAAATCACATATATTTTGGCTGCACCATTTCTCCATATCCACAACTCATTCCCTCTGGCTATCCCATGTTGTTCCATTCATTCAGGTGTCCGACATTTCCCTTACTGTGGCTTGTTTCAGCTTTCCTCCTCCAAAGTCCTGACCTGTTACCTTCCAATGCATTTTCCCCATCCTTTAAAGTGATCCCTTTCCTCCTGAGCCTGGAGAAAAGATGCAACAAACAATTCTAGCTCCACTTGAAGCATCTTGCTTTTGAGCGGGTTGCCAGCAAAATACAAAAAATGTACATTTTTCAGACACCTTGGCAAACTTATTTTAACCGGCATGTGTTGGTCTCTGGCGGTGGGATAACAGGTCAGAATGCCAGTGGGCATGCCAGTCCCTTTGCTGCTGAGCGCGAAAAGCTGTCTCTTTCACCATCTGGAGAGTGAAATTCCCCTGCAGTTCCCCACTGATTCATATTTAATTTCTTTCTCTCACCAGATTCCTTGCTGACAGCATTTCTATGGACAGCTGCCTGGGGATTTATGCTTTGGCATATGCTCACAACCACCAAGCGCTGCTTCGTGTGGCCACACGCCACATCACCATTAACTTTGAACCTCTTTCTCAACACGAGGCCTTTCCAGGCTTGGATCCCAGCACGGTGATCAGCATTGTCTCCTCAGACAAACTCCTGGTGTCTTCTGAGCTGATCGTCTACCACGCTGTGCAGCGCTGGGTGAGGTCTCAACCAGCCGAGCACCTCTCACTGATCAAGAAGCTGCTGAAACAAGTCCGCCTCCCGCTTCTTACTTCCGAAGAGATCACGGTAGTCCAGAAGGACATAATCGAAGAATATGGACATGCTCACCTGCAGTGGGAGCAGCTGGACGGAGAAGGGAGGTTGCGGAAGAGCGGGGGTCTCAGGCACGGCATGTACGATGACTGGATTGTGAGCTTGGGCCTTTTTGTAAGCAACATGCAGGGAGGCGTAGTTGAACGTCTGAAAACTCACTTCCTGGGATTCAGCCTGCAGACAGAAAGCTGGGAGGAGATACCACCCCTGATGTATCTAGATTCCTCTGGCTTCTTGTCTGTGGGGCACAAGCTCTATGTCTCTGGGGGACAAAGGCTTAATGGCTCCGTCTTAGGCAATCTGCACGAGTTTGATGCTCTTACCGGCCAGTGGATGCAGCTGCCATCCATGTCCACTCCTCGGCGAGAACATGGCTTCCTAGCATGTAAGCAGAAGCTGTATGCTTTGGGGGGTCGGAGTGGCCGAAGTGTGCTTGATTCTGCAGAAAGCTTTGACCTAGTGCAGAAGTCCTGGTCTCCCATTGCCAACTTGCCATTTGCAGTGAGTCATTTTGCCTCTGCCACATTGAAAAACAAGCTCTACCTGATTGGAGGGTTCTCTCACACAAGGGCAAGCGGCCTTGCTCACAGGGGCATTCTGATTTATGAAACAGGTTCCGATGTGTGGAATCAGGTGCCTCTGGCTTTTCAGTGCTACAAATCCACAGCTGTGACCATGGACAATGGGATCTTCGTCATCGGCGGGCTTGTTGAGGAGAGCAGCCGGCGCGAGACACCCGGCACGGTAATCAGGGCCCTGATCTCTGGCACCCACAAGTGTTTCTTCCTCAGCAAGGATGGCACTGTGAGCTACGACGTCGCCATCCCAGAACTTCCTATCCTGGTCTTGCCACCTTGTGCGGTGCAGTGGCAGAGAAGAATCCACGTGCTGGTGGGGAATACAATATACCAGTGGAAGCCCGGAGAGCCCAGCTGGACCAGGAGTCGAAAAACTGCTCCCAACACAAGAGTAACATTCTTAACTGTAGTTAATGGAGTAACACTGAGGGTCCCAAAGAAAAATCTGCAGCCCCTTTTACGAGAAGCCTCTGCAGCCTTGACAGCGGTTTGGGTGGCTGATAATTAGCAGCCAATTGACACTTTCCCAAACCTGGCTACCTTGGTGTCACCTAAATGCAGGATTCCATCGGGCATCTTAAGCTTCTCCCTTTAATATCGACAGTACCGATGCCTTCAGCAGAATACAGTCACATGGGTTCCTCCTCATTGCACTTGAGACAGGGTGCCTATGGCTCAGCCAAGGGGGCTGGCTGCTGAATAAACTCAATTCCAGCTTCCAACTTACGTTACTTATCATAGAATTGTTCTGAGTACCATACGGTATGAGGGAAAAGATCAGAAGCTTCTAGGTCAGGGGTCAGCAAACTTTTTCAGCAGGGGGCCGGTCCACTGTCCCTCAGACCTTGGGGGGGACGACTATATTTTGAAAAAATATATGAACAAATTCCTATGCCCTACAAATAACCTTTTTAAATAAAATAACAAATAACCTTTTAAAATAAAATAACACATTCTACTCAGGTAAAAACACCAGGCAGGACCCACAAAAAACCCAGAGGTGCGTTTTAAATAAAAGGGCACATTCTACTCATGTAAAAACATGCTGATTCTCAGAACATCCATGGGCCAGACTGAGGAGGCGATTGGGCCGGATCCAGCCCCCGGGCCTTAGTTTGCCTACCCATGTTCTAGGTCTACCTCCACTGTCAGAGGCATTAGGCCTCTGCATCCTAGTTTCTGGGAATCGCAGGAGGGGAAAATGCTGTTGCACTTGAACCCAGCAAACAGGCTTGCCAGGGGCTTTAGGGCAGCCACTGTGAAAAGAGGATGCTGGACTAGATGGGCCATTGGACTAGGTGGAAAAAAGAAAGATTTTCTGTCTTTGGCTCAAAGCAAAAGTCCCCTTATTTCCTTCAGATTTCAAAGCCATGTTCAACTCTGGGCTGTACTGCAAGGAGGAACTGGAAGAGAAATAGGGGCACACTTTAACTGTTAATCAAATAATTAAGATTGGTTGGTTGCCTAACACAAGTCAGTCTCTAGTAGAGATGTAAAGGCCCGGGAGTAGTGGGGTGGGGGAACAAAGCCAAAATAATGAAGAAGAAAAAACCCTGGAACCCCCTCCAAAAAAGTTATTCTGGTTTGCCCCCCCCCCAACCTTCAGGTCTTTAGTCAACTTACAATCAAGTTTAAACACATTTAAAAATTGTGAAAAACAAAGGCCATCAAATTTTTAACAAGAGGTCAATGTATTAAACATAAAGCAACACCAGCCTTCACAGAAAATATACAGACGAAAAGATCATCAACAATGTGGAATGAGGCTAACATTAAGCATTGATGTAGCTGCATCAAATGTGTGGAAGAAGAGAAGAGTCTTATCCGGACACAGAAAGTCTTAACCTGTCATTGTTGGCAGCAGGGAGGCCTCACTCAGGACTGCATTCCACATGAGGAAGGGCCACAGCCTTTGTTGTCACCCTCTGAGCCTGTTTGGGTGGGGGGCACCCAGAGAAGGACCTCAGGCAGATTCACTTGACTAACATAACTACCGGTAACTAAAGACTGCTGCTTGTGCTAGAGGACAGTTGGGGGTTATTTGCTAATCAATGGCAACCACTCTGGTTATTATTCCCTATACCATTTGCTTCTGTTGCTGAACAAAGTGGGTGTGCGGGTACAAGTACACCTGGCACAAAATGGGTATTTTCTACCGATATATTGAAATGTCAGTTTGGGGAGATGCACACATAGATGGGTCACAGGTGTTAAATCTTATTTGTGCAGTGTGAGCTGTTTTAAAAGAAAAATGACTTTCCAAGTTCTTGATAAAATCAACTTTTTATTGCTCACACACTCCTCTCCCTGTGAGAAACCATATTAGTTTCAGCTCCTAGTCCTTAAATTTAAAGCTACCTTCCTCTCTGCCACAGCTGACTCTCTTTCCACCCCTTCCCTTTTAGACATGCACTTTTGTGCCTTCTCTCACTCCACCGGCCTCTGTGCCTTGTTCCACCACACTACACCCAATATCTGAAAAAGCTCATTCTTGGTGGTCATAAAGTCAGCTTTTTTTCAAAATCTACTTTTCCAGCAAAACTTTTCCAGAACCTCCACAGCCTCTCCTTTCCAGGGCCTGCTTCCGTTAGGGTACATCTGTTCCAATCAATATATGCGGTGTTTGTGAACAGGTTGTGTATTCTGCATTTAAGCGCATGCCTTGCCCTAATTAATGTTCCACTTCCCAGTTTCCTCCTTAGTGTTAAAATAATTACTTCTTAAGCGAGGTGCTAATCTTACTGCAGCCATGCCGCTTAATGTTACCGGTGGCCATCTGGGCAGATTCCCTTCCCATCTGGGCAAATTCCTGGCCATTGTTTGGTTTCTCCTCATCCACTTTAAAAAAAGAAGTCTTTTTTTCTTTAAAAATTTTTATGATCTAACCAGGCATACAAACTGCACCCAGCAGCACCTTCTTTTCATTTCCCGCCTGTCCCTCCTACCCAGCCCCCGGCTAAAGCAAGTTCTACATGACATTTCACAGATTTCTACCCCCTCCCCTTGCCCCCACCCCAGCCCCGCCCCTTTTAAATGTCCACAGCTCTGCCCAAAGCAGTGAACAGAGCCAGAAGAGGGGGTGGGGAGGGAAAGCAAGCTGGGAAGAGACCAGAACACACAAGGAGCATTTCTTGTTGGTATTGACCCTTTCTTTGCCAGTATTCATTTGTTTTCCATTTATGGTCCGCCATTCTTCCAAGGAACTCTAAGGTGGTATACATACATTATTCTCTTTCTCTCTTCCCCAGCCTACACCATAGCCCTGTAAGGTAGGTGAGGCCAGGAGAGGTTGACTGGACCTCCCTGGTCCTAGTTCAGCACTCTGCTACACCAAGCTGGCCCTTTCTCCATGCATCATTATTCCTTCTCTGCCTCTACTACTTGCCATGCATCTTTGGGCCATTTTATACAATCAGTAAAAACATTCACTGGATACAATCAGTAAAAACAAATCGGAAAGTTTTTTCCTCAAGTGTCCAGGCAATATATGTATGTGTTGGGTGAGTGGGGTTGCCTGCATGAATTGTTTCCCCATGGGAAAACAGCAACTGTAGGAAAGTACAGTGGAACCTTGGTTTTCAAACGTAATCTGTAATCGAAAACTGAGGATCAATGGGCAGTTGGCAAAATCCATTGAAAAAATGGAAAAACATGCAGTGGAAGCCGTTCAACTTCCGAGGCGCGTTCGAAAACGGAAACAATTACTTCTGGGTTTTCAGCATTTGGGTTCCGAGACGCTCGAAAACCAGGGTTCCGCTGCACAGACAGGAATGCATAGCAGAAGTAATCTTGCTCTGCAGATCACCAGATCCATATCACACACACCCTGCCCGCAAATCGCCTGTGGCTTCCAATGAACTCTACCCACTTGGTTCTGAGCACATCTTATGCAGAAAGTTAATACATAAAGTCAAATCTCTTCTTCATACAGGACTGATGTTTGGCCCTCCAATCAGAAATACATTTGCGAACTCTCTCTTGCAGGAGCCACCCAAATCACCTCCCATGTTTGGCTGCAGCCTTTTTCAGAAAGGGTCAGCTGTTCCATTTGTTATGTATATGCATCTAGCGCAATGGGGCTCCTTCCACACTCTCCAGGCACCTCTGCAGCAGAAATAAGTAATAACAGTGCCAATTTGAAAACTGGAGCAGGAGTTAATTACACTCAATAAATTATGCCCAACAGAGCAGCCAGCTCCCACCGAGCAGCAATTGCAGGTAAGCAGGTGAGAGCTACAAATGGTTCTGCCCTGCCTCTTTGACTCCAAGCTTGTTTCTCTTGTGTTTGCTTTGACATTTTATTCCTCTCCTCCCAGCCTCTCTCCCTGATATCTCTCACAAAGAAAACTGGAAACTGCCATGGTAGTAACCTTTAACAATATGCACCGAAATCTTGGCTAACAACCATAGCCCCACATGCCTGCCCTAGTCGATGGAAGCATGATTCCCCAGGAGAGTTGCTACAATGCCATCCCCAAATGTTATATCACTCGGCTTTATGCAGCCACCTGCATAGCATAGTAATGGCCACCTGCTCACCCCTTCAGCTATATAAAACACACCCACATCAAGCTGCTCACTGGACGCCTCCGTCTTTAGGGGAGTGGGAAAAGACAATGCAGCAACAGGGGAGACTTTCAGCTGGGGGAGGGAATTAAACTCACCAAAACACACACACAGTTTAAAGCTCCATAGGGTTCATGGAAATACATTTTTTGGGGTGGGGGAACTATGAACAAAACATCAGATTCTGCCAAACTTCACTCCCCCCACCAAACTATACTCTGGGAGCAAAGTGTGCCAATTAACCTAATGTGTAAATTCTCTGATATATTCGAATCATGGAATGTGGACTTCCTCACTGCAAAATTTTGGAAATTTAATTCTGAATTCCAGATGCTCTGCTTCAGTGGAGCATTTCAACCAGCAGAGGTCAATATCACCTTATAGAGGCTTGGAGCAGGGGAGGGGAGGGTGAGATTCAATTATTTGGCCAAGACTTCAAAACACACAAACTGGGACTGTGTTCTCATCACTGGATTTGCATCAGAATGGCTCTCTAATTGCTCCATCAAGACACAGATTGTGGATCACTCTGTTGTTATTCAGAGGTTTGCAAAGTTGTGGGGGCCCTTTAATTTGTGCTGGTGGTGAAGTAATTGGAAGGCCTGTTCAGTGAGCATACAGAACTGCTCCTACCTGGATGAATGATTTATGTGGCATAGTCCTATAGCATGGGCCAGGTAGAAAACTGCAGGGGAAATTTAGTAGGATTAGGGAAACAAACAAATGGTTATAAAGTCTGGAGCTTTAGTAAAGATGCTCAGTTCCTTAAGAGGTTAAAGATCTGGTTGCTAGGAGAACCAAGGGGTCTCTTTTCCCCACATTATTACTTGCTGCTGCATTTTGATAGTTACATGTTGACTTAACCCAGCCTTTGCCAACTTCATGCCTGTGGTGGCTGATGGGAGTTCTAATCCAACAACATCTGACGAGCACCAGGTTAGTGAAGGCTGCCTTAGCCGATGACTGCTCAGAAGTCTGATCTGGAAATTTGTCCAAAGGATGTGGGTGGCGCTGTGGGTTAAACCACAGAGCCTAGGACTTGCTGATCAGAAGGTCGGCGGTTCGAATCCCCGCGACAGGGTGAGCTCCCGTTGCTCGGTCCCTGCTCCTGCCAACCTAGCAGTTCGAAAGCACATCAAAGTGCAAGTAGATAAATAGGT